ATAGTAATAGAACTATTTATAGTAATAGAACTAAAATTGCAATGAAATTTATTTTAAATGAATGTTGAAAAAGAAACGACTAATAATGTTTTTGTAACGTTACCAAATTTTTCAGACGGGCCTTATAACTTGGCAGTAAATTCTGACCAAGGTCTGAAAACTGAAGGGGTTTTCATGGTGAACCTGGAGGAACTGGTCTTTTTTGAGTGCATTGCAGACTCCAACCCTCCCAACATCTGCGTCTGGATCTCTAAGACGAAGAACGGCACAGAGGTTCTCATGACTGGACCACGGTTCGAAGTGAAGCCGTATGAGTTACCCCAGGGTAAAGAGTTCTTGTGTAGAGCATTCAACAATATGACTAAGAAGCAGGACGAGACCAAGTTCACACTGGTGATGGCCAGTCTTGACAGAGGTATGTTTGCGTTCACTGTTTGAGATCTGCACATTCATCCTCATGCCAAAATAATGACAGTAATTTCATAAAAAGGACCCTCAAATTATTTTATTAAATTCTTCTGACCTAAACAAATCAAAGTAGATTGACACTATTGAAGCTTAAATAATTCTACAAACAAACAAATAAATAAATAAATATTGTTTAATAATAATACAAAAATAGGCTATATTTAATCATAAGAATAATAATGACAAAAACTGTAATAATGACAAAAATGGTTACTGGCTTTAGTGTTTTAAGTTAATCTATCTTATTTGTTATTCTTTTATTCCATCCAGTGTCAGTCTGCATGGTCGTGGCAAGCTGTTTTTTTTCTCTCCCCAGTTGCTAAGTGCAAATCTGTCCCACCTGTGATTAAGTGTTGCTGTTCCACTGGAAAGTAAATAGGGGCTGGCACCTGTCCTTATTGTTTACGTTGTTACAGGCAGTGAATTTTGGTTCAGTGTGGATACAGAATAAAAAAGTGCAAGCATGCAATGCAAGTTCTTGGTTGTTTAAAGGTGAAGATCACACCAGAAATGATGTATTTTAAAATATAAAATGTAAGTAACACTGATATCGATCTGTTTACAGAAAAAGCAAAATATAGCCAGGAAGGGAGTGTGCTGTCTTCATTGGCTTTCATTACAATCTCATCAGTCCTCATCATAGTGTGTATGATGTTTGTGCTCCTGAGGAAGAGCTGCCATCCAAGAAGAAGTATGATCTCATTCTGATTTTTAAAGATATTCAGGCATCACCTTAATAATGTGTCATTTGAACAAAATCATTATTTATTAAATCATTTGTTTAAAGACCCCCCATTTGTGGCTTTAAGTCAGAGAGTGCTTTGTGTGTTTGCCATCTGTATGCTAGTGCACTCCTAAAATTCACTGTTAGCAGATATATACATGTAAAAATGACTCATTCTGTACTACACAGATTTTCATCTAATCAAAAGCTCTCCAAAAAGAGTCCCTCATCCCCTTTAACTATGTCTGTTTGCTTAAAAAAAGATGTAATATAAAAATACAGAAAAATATCAACACAGGACAGAAAACTGTTTCAACTTATTTCAAAGGGGTCTTTAATATTTAAATCGGTGTATATTTACATTAAATAATTGTAATTCATTAGCAATAATTGACATTTAATTTGATCCTTTTTCTACAGTGATAAAGACTATCTACAGGCGGTAAGAAAATGTTTCTTATCTATACAAATATCTGAGAAATATATGACGCGTTTATTTATTTAAGTGACATCATTGATGGATTGATCCTGTCCTCCAGGCCAATGACAGAGCAGAGAGGACTGCACCGCTCTGGTAGGTTTACTGCATGTCTCGGACTACAATATACCTGTGTTGTTAAGCAGTGATGTGTACACTACCTCTCTGTGCAAACAAACTCCCCAAGCCCATTAACATCACAACTGCTATAATCATATCGGCTTGGTTTCTGTCAGCGTACATTATAAACATATTTTCCACCTTGCTGGTGCTGGCTTTACTTAGCTATATACACAGTTACTCCCTTTGGAAAATAAATAGGATATTACCAACGACTTACTGTCTACAATAAAATACTTGTGTGCTAGTGAACCAAAAATGGTGGATAGTAATGATTCAAACATTGTTTAATTATTACTGTGAGAACAAATTGCTTTAAATAGCCTACATTACATAATATGGATCTCAATAGAAGTTAATGGCTAATAAAGTTGTTTCATTACAAATAAAATGATAAATAAAAACGAATAAATAGATGAAAAATAATCAACAGGATATTTATATTACGTAGTGTATTGTTTATATTATACAGTGCCTAAAATTGGCTTTGTATTGTGATAAATATACACTAATCTGATTAATATACCTACTTGCAGGTCATGAAGATGCAACTGAAGACTTTGGCATTTATGAATTTGTCTCTGTACCTGGGAAAATGGAGTCAACACAGGTTAAAAAAAAAAAAAATCACTTGGTGTTTTGCATGAGCAGTTTTGCCCCAGAACAGTTTGATATTTCTTCTCTGTGTTTTCCAGGCATCCTGCAGGTCTTTGACACGGCTTGATTCAGTCAAAGATTTGCATACCACCATCTATGATGTCATCAAGCATGTGCCTGAAACTCCAACACTGAGTCTTTTGAAATGAGAGAGGTGGATAGTCATGATGTGTGCTCGGATGTAAAGATGAAAGGCGTTTCACTATTTTTTTCTGCCAATTTTTCTCTCTACAGTCACACATTTAAGCACTTCTTTTGTTTTACAATTATTCGTTTTTATACTACTTATACTAATCATACATTTATAAACTTGTGCTGGACACTGAAGTTTTTATTGTCTTAAAATAAGAGAACTATGAAATTCTTTTCTGTAGCAGCATGCTTAATGAAAAGCTGAGAGTATTTATATATAAATACAGTCGTCATCTAATGTTGTTGTTCCTGCATTTTGAATGTAAATATGATGTATGCATCTTGTACATTGAATCTGTATTTTTTTGCACACTGCAGCGTATTCTGTTATATTGCTCATTACATTTTCAAGATGCCACATGTTATATATATTTCACGGGTAGCAGTTTGTTGAATGTAAAACAGGCATCTTCTGTCTGTTTTGTTTTCTATGTGTTGCACCCAGTGTTGGGGGTAACGCATTACAAGTAACGCGAGTTATGTAATCAGATTACTTTTTTCAAGTAACTAGTAAAGTAACGCATTACTTTTTAATTTACAAGAGAATATCTGAGTTACTTTTTCAAATAAGTAACGCAAGTTACTTTTTTTTTTCCAATTTATTGATTGACAGCTCTCCTGTCCTCATGTTGAGAGAAATCAGATGTTACTGTAGTTCTAAAATAAATATGAATATGCATTAATTCATCTCACTCACAAAAAAAAAAACTGATTCAGTATTCCTCAAAATGAATAAAAATAATTCAGAATATGATGCAAACCTACAATAATTAAATGTTAAACAACACAAATATGCTTTATGTATTTAATCCCATTCTATTGCACCTGCACCTGTTCACGTTTTAAACACAGATGGATGCTTCGGAATTTGAAAATAAAGGTTTTTAGAATAATTGTTATTTTATTAAATATAAGACATAACAATAATTTTGATTTACTTTTTAGAGTTTAGCTCTCTGAATTTATTATGTTGATGAAAATGCTGCATCTCTGAGTCTCTTTTTATATTTGTGCATCATAAATGTTTAAATGTATAAAATTTCAAAGGTGAATATTAGAAATATGGCAAGTATTGCTGTGAGTCTTTCTGTGTACATATTAAGCTGATCATTTTAATTTTGGTAAGCACTGTTGGGTATTTCAACCAGAGAGATTGTCTGGTAGCTATAACCGGCAATATACTGGAACAAACACAGTGCTTTATAAAAGGATGATTTATAATATGACTGTGTGTATTTTCTCAGTTTCAAAGGAAGAGCAGAAGCATTCATCAACAGCTCAGCTGCCTGGAGCGAGGTGCCACTCCCTTATTTGAGAGGGAAATTTTCAGTGATATCAGCGGCGCTTTATTGACGAGAAACACTTGCTCTCTTATGTGTGCTCACATCAGCATGAACAGCCAGTTGGAAGGGCTCGTCTCTAACACCCACGCTAGAATATTTTTGTCAGGTAGCAGATATTTTTGCTGTAAACTTTTCTCTGAACTGTGAGATGCAAAAGCCCCAAACAAATGAGGTTTTGTGGCATTTTCCAAGAATCCTTGACTCGTTCTATGTTACGTGTCTGTGGACCTCAAGTGCAACACATCAACACACACTGTCTTCTACAACAGACAGAAATAAGTTGTGCGTGTGTGTGTGTGTAGTCAGGGGTCTAGAAATTTTTAGAAAATCCAGGAGACACCTTATAGCTTTCATTTTTAATCATCTCTCAAAAAGATGGGAGGAAAAATCTAAATATCTAATAATGGTCTCTACACCCCATTATACAAATATAATTGCTTTCTAAGAGGCATGCCAGATTTTTAATTTGCTTTAAATGTAAAACTGATCAAAACAAATAAGCACGAGAACCATCATTTTGTCTTCAGAGAATGCCACAGGAAAACAAAAAAGAGGAAAAAGTCAAAATTATGAAAAAAGTCAATTATGACATATAAATTTGACATTGTGATATAAAAAGTGGAAGTTATGACACAAGCATAATTATGACAAAATGTGAAAAACTCAAAAGAAAAAAGTACAAATTATGACTTCAAAAGTCGACATTATGAGATAAAAGTCATAATTATTATTTATATATATATAAGCATAATTTCTACTTTTAGGTCATAATTACTTTGTATCAAAGCATGATTTTTCTTATGAGGTGGAACTGAGGCTAGATGGGATACAGCTACGGCCACTGGGAATGCGCACATCAGTCATTTTTGTCACGCTGAACAACAACTGTAACTGGGCTTCCATATTAACACAGTTTTTGTCTACTGCTCTGTACTACTTCTACGAAAGTAGTATGCTACTCAGAGGCATGTCAGAGGAACTACATATCCCATGCTGCACTGGCCATCTGTCACGTGAGACCAACAGTGAAACATGGCACCTGTCTAGCACTGCAAGGATTGAATCGCGTTTGACAGAAAAAGACCAGAGAATACATCACGTTTACTGCTTAGTGTTTTCAACTATACAATGCAGAAAATCAAGTCTTTGATGGCCCGTCAGGTGGGTTATTTCTCATCTTACATCAGTCTGCTTCTTGATTTCATTGACGAATCCGGAAGCATTTTATTAAGCTAGCCTGCTTGCTAAAATACAAACAAACAGAAAAAACAGCTTATATTTTCTCAGATATGCACATTTACTCATTGTATCATAACGCATTCAATCAGTGCATGTGGAATAATTAAAGGAAATATCTGAATGATAAATAAAAAGATAATGGTGAGCTCTTGGACAGTAACATTTGCTTAAGATTTTCAGAGTTAATAAAGCTTACATGTAACTTATTGAGTTTATTATTATTTTAAAGAAACTCCCTTTTAAACCCGTTATAAATAGATGTTAAATCTAAACGACTGTACGTTGTTAACCATTATTTTGTCGTTGTGCTATATGGTCCCTGCATTATCAGGTGGATTATTGCTCGTATTTATTATTTCTCAAAAGACGAATTATACAATATTTTTTGTGGGTTGACGTTTTAATACTTTTTAAGTTTTCAGGGTGTGATCTTTTGAAACTCATCTCGCACAACGTAAATAGGCAGCTCAGCCAAATGTGTTAGCTTTATGTAAATCTATTGTAAAGTGTCGAATAATCGCTATATTTATGTTTTCGGTAGTTTTTAAAAAAGATCCTAAAAAATGTGCACGAGCTGTTGCTATGGTTCAACAAATGGTTGCTATCATCCGCATGCGAACTCGAAAGAGTCTGTTAACATCAAGGGAAGCATACGTCCTCTGACTAGCTTGTAATCTAACTTTTGTGGTTACTGAAACATTTGAACCTCAAATTGAAAAAAGAATATATACTTTATGGTAGTGGGTTAAAAACAGGGGTCTGGGGACCCCCGGGGGCCACAAAGTTAGCAGGTCTGTGTAAAAGTTTACTGAAAAACTGTAAAACTGTATAAATAAATAATGCAAACAAGATTAAACTGAATTAATAAAATTGTAATTAATATAAAAATGTTACTTTTAATAAATAAATAAATAAAATAAAAAAATAATGTAATTTAATATACACTACATCTTTTCCAAATAATATTTTACACATATTTATAACAGTATAAATTGGGTCTTTTATATATTGGGTCTCTTGCATTAGGAATGTCATATTTGAAGGTCTGATGCATCTGAAAGATTGAAAACCCCTGGTTTAAGAATCCCAAGACCCCCATCCCCATATATCGCTGCCTAATATTTATAGTTTAATGTTTATTTTCTCTGCCAGGGTCTGAAGAGTCCCCAGGAGAGTGTGGTTGACATGATGCTCTTTGCGCACTTTCTAGGCTATAATCCATTTAGAATTTGAATACATTCACTCATGGATTCACTCTCTGATAACCATATATCCAATATTGCCACTTGCCATTGTCTTGCATATATTACATCATTTAATTAAAGGGGTCATATGATGCGATTTCAAGTTTTCCTTTCTCTTTGGAGTGTTACAAGCTGATTGTGAATAGACAAGATCCCTGAAGTTGCAAAGACTAAAGTCTCAAAACCAAAGAGATATTCTTTATCAAAGTTAAGACTCTGCCAGGGTCTGAAGAGTCCCCAGGAGAGTGTGGTTGACATGAGCCCTGTGGAGAGCTTCAGGACCCCCAGCAAGGTGACTAATGCATCAGTTTATGTTCTCAAACCTAACCTGTACTCTTTCAGCATTAAGCTGTCACATTTGTGAATGGGTTTTGTTAGGCTGCTATGTAGATTTTTTAATGCATCTTGGCACTCACTTATGAAGGTTGACAAATGCCTGCTGAAAAATGTCTATTGACTGGATGAATCAATCTTCCTTGTATATTGCGGTCTAGGTCTGGATTACATTATAACTACAGTAAATGTTTTTTTTTCTTTTTTTCTGTGAAATGTCATGATGTGTCTGAGTATAAAATATGCAGAATATAACCTCAGTCTTATTCTCCTGGGTATTAATCATAGTGTGAAAGAGGTAAAAATGTGACTATTTTAATAAATTAAGGATGCTCATTTCAGTTAATTTTCCTGACCGACAACTGCTACATTAACCGTCAACTGATAAAATTAGAATAATAAATTAGTATTAAATAAAAATAGAATGGATGAGTGTCTGTGACCCATTAAAAATACAAACAATCTTTTTCACGGGATTATTTTAATGTGCAAACATTTTAAACGCTGGTGTTCTGATCACTGCTGCTGAGTTCTGCACGTTCGCGAATTCTCTCATTACAACAAAGAAAGTGTCGACATGATGTAAATAAGAAATTTATTGTGTAGTGTAAAGCTTAACTTTGTGGGATCGCGATGAACTACAGTAAGATGAGTGACAGCTTTCCAGTGATTATAAGGGGAGTGCTCTTTGCGCACTTTCTAGGCTATAATCCATTTAGAATTTAATGATCTTTAAAAAAGCATCATATGACCCCTTTAAATGAAGGTGAAGCAAGTGCTTGCTCAGTGAAATATGTCTGTAGGCACGTTGCATGTGTCGACATGCACCCATGAGTTAACAAATACGTGTAGCATTTTTTTTTCTTCCACCATTCACCATGCAGCAACTTAAAAAAAATAAAAATTTACCGTTTAACTGATTCTTACTTTCAGTTAACGGTTAAACTGGCAATATGAGCATCCCTAGAATAAATACATCTTATGTTGAGCTTTGTGAAATTACATTTCATATATTAAAGAGACAATCAGACATGCCTTTATATTCACATGTAACATGTTTCAGAAATATTTAGAAATAAAGGAGAGAGTATAAAAAAAGTTAATCAGACTTTGGCTGAGCCTTAGTGCAGCAGTGCCACTGAGTTGTATTCTGACCTTCATTGAGTGAGATAGATGTAAGTTGGTCATGGTCCAGTGCATTGGTTCTAGCGCTACCTCACGGGTCCATTAAATCAGCAGGACCGTTCTGTGATTAGGCCCCTTTCAGATGTTCTGGCTGTAGGTTTCTAAGGTAATTTTTGTGCTCGATGTACACTCTCAACCGCAGCTCTGATATTTCCTGCTGATGCTTTTTACTTTTAATCCCTGGTTATTGCAAACATAAATAACCCAAATCAAGGAGACTCATTCCCACCGGTGGAGAGTGTGTTTGTTGTTATTCTGTATGTAACACGTACTTCAGAAAATGATTTCCAGAACCATCCGGCTTAGATCCCTGGTGGGATTTGTTTCAACACTTTTGAAATTTTCCTGAAACTAGGCACTGAGAAAGTGTTTGATCATTGAAATGAGCGGTCTGTCCATAGCGTGTAGTGTACAGGAAAATGATGGATTAGCCCTCAAAATAGCTTCCAAGTTCTTCTGTGTCATTAATGAGGATTGTGTGCAGGAAAAATAGACTTTGTTTTGAAGTCCTTGTCTGTAGGTTATCATTTTCTTGAAAGTTAAAGTTCTAGGGGAGGATCCTGGTTTTTAACAGTTTCTTTTAACAAGTAAACAAGATATTTCCATCTTGTTCAGTTCAGGGCATCACAAGAAGGATTTTCTTTCTCCTTCAGTATTTAAGACGTTTTTACTTTTTGTTTTTAACAAATGTGATTATATTTTATATATCAGAGAAAAGGTTTCTTAAAGCATGTTGGAGACGTTGCCACAGTTCTTCTGGATTTAGTCTGTCTCAGTTTTGTTCTGTTTCTTCATGTCATTCCAGATGGATTGGATGATGGTGAGATCAGATCTCTGTGTGGAGCACTGGCTGTTGTCAGACTCCTTGTGCATACAAAAATCTCACTGGATTATTACAATTAATGGCAAAAGGAATGTTTGGAAATGTAAACTGATATTTCCTACTGACACTACAGCAAAAGATAGAAATAACTGGCTTGAAACCATTTTTGTTGGTGAAAATACTAGTGGCCTAAGACTTTTGCACTGTAGTGTATATACAGGAATCAACACATTTTAAAGGGGTCATGTGATGCGATTTCAATTGTTGCTTTCTCTTTGGAGTGTTACAAGCTCTTGGTGGATAAAGAAGATCTGTAAAGTTGCAAAGACTAAAGTCTCAAATCCAAAGAGATATTCTTTATAAAAGTTAAGAGTCAGCCACACCTACATAAAATGGCTCGTTCTAACACGCCCCCACATATCTACATCACTATGTGGGAAGATTTGCATAACGCCGCCTGTGAGGGGCGTAACATTTCCGTCTCACGCTTGAGGTATTCGGCCAATCACAATGCATTGGATAGCTGGCCAATCACAGCACACCTCGCTTTTTCAGACCGATGAGCTTTGTAAAAATCGACGCGTTTCAAAAAGGCGGGGCATAGAGGAGAAACAATAATGTACAGTATGTGGAAAATAATGTGTTTTTTTAACTTTAAACTGCATAAACACATTTCATTACACCAAATACACAAAATAATGTTCTTTTTAGCAGCATCATATGACCCCTTTAAAACATGAGAGGAGATGAACAATATTGAAGATGTGTAACAGAGTTTATTTAGTTTATCATATATCTGTTTGATTTGTTCTTGTTGTTTATGTCAGATAAAACACATGAGGTTTAGATATCATGATATAAACCATGTGTTTTTTTTGTTTTTTTTTACAATGTCACAAGCCAATTAGCCAGTGAATATTTTATTTTTTAAGGCCAACTTTTACTCTAATTTAGCTCTTGGCTAGTGTTCATTTTGGGACTTGTGTGCTCGACAAATGTCCTGTCATTTCCGCTGTATGGCTTTGTGTTTTGCACTGAAGAGGTTTTATAATTTGAACTTGTCAAATAATGGGATATGGAAAAATTTTCTTTTGGGATGTTTTGAATCCCATTTTTTCCTGCACAGTCTCTCGTGTCCTCTAGATGGCACTACAATCACATAATTAAGGCATTATCAAGCAGTCTTGAATGCCTCTTGAAGAATTGCTGTGAAAATTAATGAACATTTATACAGTTTATTTACGTCATTAGACTTATGTCGTCATTACCCTCATCATATTATGCAGAACATTGTAATATGTAGAATATTATTCATAAGATGACTCATTCTTATGTACATCCAAGCGTGGGTGTACTTTTGGAGGTTACAGCCACATATACATTCATAATCAGCAACTTTTCTCTCCCTCCCATTTCATGCAGCCTGGAAGAATTAAATTATTTTGAATGGAGTCCATTATTTGTAAAGATCTCACAAATAAAAGCTGGAGCAGGTACAGAGTATTATTACAAAGTAGTGTGAGTCGGGTTCACTCACGTCTTGTAGCAGATGTAACATCAGCAGCAGCTGTCTGTCTCTTCTCTCTCATCTCAGTCCATGTGAACAAATGCTCATTGTTATTTTTAATATGATTGTAAATCACACTCTCTCCTGCGTTTGATCAACATCATTCAGTAACCCTTCAGTTCACTCCTCCTAAGCTTTGATTGATGTATAGCACGTCGAGTCACACTTTTATGTGCAAATAGACTCACGGTTGTCTCCGTTTGCGCACAGGGAATAAAAGGATGAGAGGTGTTAATTTTGGTAAACATTGGCAGTCTCCATGGGATGGAAAGATAATTGAACAAAGGCTTGGTGATCATTTTAATTAGAGTGGCTGAGCTTGTTTTATTTTCCAAGTGACCGTTTGGGTGGGAAATGATTGATGTTTTCAATCTCATCCGATCGAATCGTGGACTTCATTCACACCTAATTTGTTGCAATACTTTTCATTCTCACCTAATTTGCTGCTATTTTAAGAAAGCTGGTTAAAGGGGCTGTCACGTATACTTTTCGTTCCATTGACTTCCATTCATGCGAATGCTGGGGACCGTGCAAAGAAGTTTCGCATTTTGTTGCGTTCCAGAATTCATATCATACATTTAAATTACATGAAGACGTGTTAAAGGAACACAAACTTTAAAGCTCCGGGATTGCCGGACTGCAGGAAAGTGGAGTGAATTAAAAAGTAAATTAAAAGTGATGTGACATATGTACGTGATATGTAAGTTTTTTTCAACAAATGTTACATCAATAATCATGTTTTTAAAGCTAAAGCTAACTCCAAACCTATGCAACATATGCTAAAGAACTTATCCTCATCGTGTGGGATGCATGACTTTATCCACAGCGCCACCTTAAGCTTTCCGTTTTAACGGTGAGAGGTGAGGGATTCAGTAGGAAAGTAGGCCTTTTTTATTGTGCCTGAGGTAGAAACTTGCAAAATAAATCAATCCGAGAAGTTGTTTTTGAATATTTTTTACTAGTACCCGACAGACAGCTGCTCATGCACTTACCTAGATTTCAGTAAAGAAAATGTTATAAATACAACATAGTTTCCGCTTTTTGCATAAACAATTTTTCTTAAAGAAATACCTTTAACTTAAAAAAAGTTAAACCTACATCTGTAAAACAGTATTTTTTAGAACCAATTATGGTCTTTCACCTTTGGCCTTTCAGGATGTTATGCAGCTTTTAGTAAATCAATAAATCAAATTTGACCCAGAAATATGTGACATTTTCTAAGATTTAGCCCCTCACACTTACTGTTCTGCAACCCCCTGGGAACTATCTCTCCCACAGAGTGGATATTTTCCTGTCAAGCAGGGTGCACAAACATTCACATGCCCACACATACTAAGAGTATATAAATATATATGTAATTCCCCAAGGGGGAAAAAAGCTGTTATTTTTCTACTAAAACTCTTCAAGGCACCAAAACCACTGCAGCACTTTCTTAAACTCCTGTAGTACTGAAACAAATTGTTTGCTATAATGAGGGTGGAATAGCTAGATTTTCTGTGATAGAAGTGAAAATGATTGGTTCTTCATCTCCTTTTACTCATTGTTTTACTCCCAGAAGTATTGTAATAATAATTATTTTAATTAATTATTATTTTTTAAATTTATGTAGTAACAATTTGAATTTCAACTCAGCTTTGAATATTTTTTAGAGTACTAATGAAATTAATACATTTTAATGGTAGGGTAAAGTTAGTTAGCTGCAGAGTTCAGCTCCAACCCTAATCAAACACACCTGAACAAGCTAATCAATGTCTTCAGGATTACTAAGGCTATAGGCAGGTGAGTTTTGTTTTCAGGGTTGGAGCTGAACTCTGCAGCTCTCTAGGACCGAACTTGCCTACCCCTGACCTATAAGGAGGGTGGGAGGTTGTGTTAAAATTTACTATTGAAGGCCTATTACTATTTACTATTTACTATTGAAGAAACCATCTGTTTGGGGGAAAGGTCCAAAAAAATAGAAATTATAACCCAGTTAACATTTCAACATTCTTAAAATATTAGGAAAAAATGGTTAAGGAGATACAATGCAGATGTTTAAAGCTATTATAATATATTCTTTTAAATTTGAACGATAGTTCTAAAAAATAAATAAATTGGTTCTTAAAAATTACTGTAAGGGACAGAAAAGTTTCCATAATTAAAGAATTATGTTCATTTTGTCACCGTTTATGAGCACACTTGAAAATATATTGATGACCTCAAAGCTATTAGACTTTGACTAATAGCCTTAAATGTCCAGATTTGATTTCAAGGTGTCTTTGAGGCCTAATGATAACAAGTGAGCCCAAGGATTTTGTCTTTTGTTCTTGCTGTGCGTGCACCAGTGGAGAATGACTCATACCACCCCACCCCCTGCGGATGCTGATGCTGGTGCCGTCCCTCAGTGAGTTCACCCACGCTCCCTCACAGTGCTGCCTACATCAGACTGCACTGCATACACACCGCATCATGTGTCTTTGAGGTGATTAAAGGCTTTCAGGCCAAATCATTCCTCAGATTCTATCTCAATGAGTGACATCACATTGCAGCCTTTATAGGAAGATCCTTCATATATTACCAAGTGTCCAACTTTGAGTTCTTTCAGTAGTGTCAAACATGAATAAGTGGTTTATTGATTTGGAACGTTTTCTGTGAATTTGGCTGATGGCTGTAATTAAAGGGTTTTTAAACATTACCTCCACATCTGCTCTTGTAATTCAGTATGGCTTAGTAAGTTTATCTCAGTCTTTGTCATGAAGCTGTTTTAACTACATTGCATCACATCATGTGAATCATGCGTAATGAGCCTCTCAGCACCCCTCTTCAAAGAAAAGAGGACGACTTTGTTTCTTCAAGCTGTTTTGAGTGAAATTGATGCTCCTGTGGTGATCCTCATTAAGGTTCATGAAGGGTGTTCCTCAGGGATGGGTGCTAAGACCACTTAATCTTTGCACTCGACTTGGCTATAAGCCAGATTCAAACCCTGTTTTTAGGTGCGCGGTAAGCTTCCTCACGATGGTGTCCCAGAAGTAGTGAGATTTCACTGCCAATAATCATTCTCGTTTCTCTTTTTCTCCCCACAGGAGGAACTGAGGGAACTGAGAGAACAACCCACGGATCCACAGGCGGAACAGGAAATCATTGATAGCATAGAGGAAGTGTACTTCTCCAGTGACTCCTTTGACACGGTGCAATACGAGCTTGAGGTGTGTGTTTGAGAAAGTCATAATGTGTTCCGTTCTTATTATCTTACCGTTTGCAGAATCTGTAAAATGTTTAGCATTTTTAAAATATGAAGGAGAATTTTTTTTGGTCACACTTTACTTTGGGGACAAATTCTCAGAATGAACTAATTATTAACTGCAACTTTTGCCTTAATAAACTAGTAAGGTAGTTGTTAAGTATATGTGTGGGGTAAGATTAAGGGATCTAAAATATGCTCATGCAGAATAAGGCATTAATATGTGCTTTTTAAGTACTAATAAACAGCCAATATTATAGTAATGCTAATAAGCAACTAGTTAATAGTGAGAGTTGGTCCCTAAACTAAAGTGTTACCATTTTTTATTTTTTGAGTGTAGGGATTTCTTTCAGAAACATTAAAAAAAAAGATGTCAAACTTTTGTGTCTTTTGTGTGTGTGTGTGTGTGTGTGTGTGTGTATATGTGTATATATATATATATACATACAGTGCTTGAAGTGGGCCGGTACATCTATATTTTAGCCAGCACTTCTATATTTTAGCCTTTAGAGTACCTGCACTTTTTTGTGCGTACCGGCACTTCTGACATGTTGCCGGTACTCAGAGTAAAAGCGTCAGGGTCTGGGTGATTATATGATCCCATAATATGATTAGAAAGGACACTATATAAATCACACTACCCAGGCGGGATCTTTTCTCATCTCGACCAATCACGTCACGTGAATGAATGCAAGCGGAGTATGTGGGGCGCGAGAGCATGTCAGGCACAGAGTAGTAGAATAATAATGAATTATTGATTACTAATTTGAATCAGTACTTTATAACGAAAATAATATCTTAAAAGCAAGCCGATTTCATCAGCGATTGCGGAAAGAATAGTCAGTAAAATAATTATTTTCAGCGTGTATTTGGCTTAAATGCAAGATGTTATTCAATTATTGATTGATTGATTGTGGCACTATACATACATTGTGAATTATTAAAAAGTGGGGGGGGGGTTGAGTATACCGGCACTACTTTTTTTACACTTCAAGCACTGTATATAGCGGATATATTTATGCATACAAACATATATATATATATATATATATATATGTATATACATACATATAGACAGCCAGTGGCCTTTGCACAGGTTGCAGCCAAAGCTGATTGATTGGATTATTCACATCTTGCAAATGTGAAATCTCATTAGATTTGGTGGTGCATTGCAAAATCTGCATGGAATGACAATTCCAGCCAAGAGGAAAGTAACTACTCTTATTCGAGTCCAGACTTTTGAGTTTTCATTGTTTCTCTGTTTGGGCATGGGTCATTGGGTATTATTTGTTTATTCCTCCTTAATAAAACTGGGCTGCGTCTCAAGTAAAAGTTTTATGGAGCTCTTCAGAGTTGGAGATGATTTGGATGTGCCTGTGTGAGGGATATCTACCACAATGGTTAAACTCATGAACTTACAGTAAGAATAAAAAATATTCTTAAATCTCAGATTTGTCTGTATTTGTGTATGCTTGCCCAATAGAAACTCCCACCGGATTTGAACCTTCTGGAGCTTGAGGAGTACAGAGATAAGCTGAAGAGACAACAAGCAGCCGTAAGTACTACATGCAGAGAAGTCTTTAAAAGATACATTACCTCACTCTCTCAAAGGCTGTTTGCAGCCTCCATTTGTGACACAAATGACATCACAAGCTGCTTTTGCATCATAATGTATATATATATATATATATATATATA